GAAAGAGAAAATTTCCCAAGCAGAAAGTCTGGACCTTGTTTAATTCAACGCCACCTCGAATTGAGAAAATTCCTCGAGCCATAGGCAGCAAAATTAATTATAACTCCATATTTTGACATGTTGTACTTCCTGTAATATCTAAGATAACTTTTACCAAAAGTTCCCTTTTAACTTAAGAAAAGAGCGAAAAGTTGCAATTTTCGCTGTTGGTTCAGTGCTTTTGCATGACATTTTCTTCTTCGTCACTTGGCTTAAAATGCTCTTTCATCCACTAAACAACATTAATGAAAATGCAATAACTTGTTTTCTGGTCCTCATATATCATAAATGCATTGAAAAAGGCATCTTGTTAATCACTCTCAATTTTAGAGTAAAATTAATAAAAGTAGTTTAGTTGATTCAGTTATGAAATTTTGTGCGATGATCTTAAGTGGTATTTAAGATCCGCTAGTGTTTTACAAAGGAGGCCACATATGGAGTAAGAGTGAGGATTGTGAGATGAGATAACTGTTAGATTGGCTGACCTTTTAGTTCTTGCTCTCGCTTCTTGAAGATGATTCAGACAAGCAGATTAAAAACTGCCGAGTCCACTAAAACACGTTGATCTCCATTCTGCCTGCTCCAAGGCTAAGCGTTAAAGGGTGTTATGTGGAATATTGACAGCTGACAATATATATATGACGTCACACATTAAATCTATAAAAACAAAGTATAAACATAATATATATATATATATATATATATATATATAAAAAGTGAACATAAAGTCAATACTTAGAGGCGACAGTCTGTTTCATATATATGCAATCGTCAGACCTGACGATTGCATATAACATGAAATAGACTTCTATGTTCACTTTTATATTTACACACGCTCTATCTCTGATATCGATAAATATAGCACACCTTAAGACTATATATATATATATATATATATATATATATATCATTTCACCCCCAAGCAAGGTACTAATGTTACTGTACGCAGAGGGTTAAAGGGAGTGAAAGTGAAAGAGAATATTGGTTATAGGAAGGACAAAAGATGAACACGATTCAAGAAGACAGTAAATGGCGATTGACAATGCATTTACATTTTAGAAGATTGTAGTGATCAGGGAAGCAAGTCAACTGAAGGGAGTTCCACAGGCTGGAAGTGTGAGGAAAGAAACTGTTGGAGTCTACGTGGCGGTTGCATTAAGTTATTTTACTAGCAAAAGGGTTGGAGCTAGATGCCAATGGTGGTAGCACGCTTAAATTCACGTCGACGGGGCATCAAGGAAAAAAAAACACATCAGAGCAGTTGCCATAAAAATATTTGTAAAAAAAGACATGAGAAAGACACGGTACATCGGTGAGAAAGTAACTGATGTCGAGATGCCAAGTCAGGATGGATTACATTACATTCTTTGGATTTTGTCAAGAATCTCAAAATGTACAGCAGGAGCACCAGACTAGATATGGTAATAGTTTTCAACGCATGGACGATTTTAAAATGTGTTTTTACACACACACACACATATATATATATATATATATATATATATATATATATATATATATATATATATATATATTATCCCATACTGTGACACGATTTAGAAGATTTTGCTGTTACACCAGGGTAGATATATATATATATATATATATATATATATATATATATATATATATATATATATATATATTTTAATTTATTTATGAAAAAAACTAGGTAATCCGTATGGGTAAACCTAAGGAGGATAAAATCCAGAGAGCTCAATGAGTTGTCTGTTTTTATTTAATATATATATATATATATATATATATATATATATATATATATATATATATATATATATATACGCTTGCGGGCAAAATATTTAGACCACCCTTTTAATTTTGTTAATTTTATTCTAACGTTGAGAGTGATTAGCAATATATACATGTGTGTGCGTGTGTGTGTGTGTGTGTGTGTGTGTGTGTGTGTGTGTGATGTCATACATTTACTCACATACATAAACAGATAGATATATTTTAGATATACATAGGTAGTGGCTATATTCATTGACATATACACGCACGCATATGTGTACGTACGTGTATATGTGGGCCAGTAAGCGTTTAGGTATGTGTGTGCGCTCATGATTCTATGCTCCTGTGTTTTTTTTTCTATGTATCCGTGAGTGGGTGTAGATACAGGCGTCGATTTCGAATGTGCGACCGTTTGTGCATCTGTATAAATATGTGTCTTGATGGGTAAACGCGTTTCCATGCTTGTCTGCATAACTCTAAGAGACCTCTCTGAACAATCGGAACATATATATATATATATATATATATATATATATATATATATATATATATATATTCAGCAAATTATGTGATAAAATGTTTATGTTATAATTTTTTAATAAATAATATTTGCTCCAGTCTGTATTGTATCTTTTAAGAATAGCGTTATTGGTTATTGGAAATTTATTCCGTCCACACCGATCCTATACTTGCTCATCTACAGGACTTTTGTTTCAGGTTGAATATGAAATTAGGCTATTGGAGGAGCTTAAAAGTATGTATCAATATATTTTACCTCTTTATGTAAATATTGAGAGCTACAAATTCTGAATCGCTCCCTCCCCCAATATATATATATATATATATATATATATGTATGTATGTGTGTGTGTGTGTGTGCAAAAGTCTTCGACCATTTTAAACTATAAAACATTTATAATAATTGTCAACTTATAAGTAGATGTTACTTTTTATTCTGCTGTCTACAGATGTAGCTTTGGCCATATTGGAGAGATTTTCTGAATATCTTGTTACCTCTCTCTCACTCTCTCTTTATATATATATATATATATATATATATATATATATATATATATATAGAGAGAGAGAGAGAGAGAGAGTATTGTTCCTATTTGATATCCAACAAAACGAATATTTGATATATATATATAAATGACAATAGGAAAACTGTAGTTATTGCTGACGCGTTACGAAACACGTCAACAATAACTACAGTTTTCCTATTGTCATTTATATTTATAAATATTGTCTTTTCTACAGGTTAACCCTGAGAATTTATATATATATATATATATATATATATATATATATATATATATATATTAAGCGTCTCACCCCAAGTAAGACGAGAAGCCACCAGGACGCAAGGGGTTACAGAAAATTTGGAGCAGTATCAGATAGGAGTGATAGAAGAAAGGATGAGGAGAAGGATAGTGGATAGATCAAGGCAACTGGAGATGTCGATTGACATTACATTTGAATAGCTGGAGATTATAGCTCTCAGGGAAACAGTAATAGGGAAGGGTGTTCCACAGGCGTGAGATGCGAGACATGAAGCTATTGGAGTAGAAGAGATGGCTACATTTAGGACTCTCGACAGTGAAAGTGTTAGAGCGGGATGCCTGCCTCGTAGGGCGCTTGAACTCATGAAGTCTGGGAACCAGCGAATGCAGCTCCTCGGAGCAATTACCATGAAAGTATTTGTAAAAATGACAGAGAGAGGCGACAGCGCGTCTGTGAGAAAGTGACTGTAGACGAGATGCCAGAGCAGGGTATATATATATATATATATATATATATATATATATATGTACGTAAATTCATTCTGCACCAATTCCTTGCAAATGAATCTCCTCACTATATCTGCTACGTTACAGAATAAAACTCTTTGCTCTTTATTGGACTGCAACGCTACAGAATAATAGGAAGGAACTGTTAATTTTACATATCGCTCAAAATTTAAATGTATTAAACTGTGAACATTTCAGTTCCTTGTAGAAGCGTGGAGCATCTTCTATTTCAATGTAGGACATTTTTGACTCATAGAATATGATCAGTTAAGAAAGTAACATTTTCAATTCGACGCATTTTATTTTTCATGCTTTCTGTCACAAACATCTTACATTATTATCATTTATCTTTAAGAACCCAAAAGCCGAAAATGCAAAATCTTCATAATAAAAACAAACTGATACTACACATTGATCATTTAATACAATATTTCTTCAGGAGGTGAGCGATCAACGATCTCCGCGTTTTCTTTGCTTTATTATCGGTGATTTGCTATGATTTCTTGAGAAAGACTGTATTGGTTTCCTTCCTTCGCTAGAGTTTTGAATTCAAAAGAGTTCTTTTTTTTTAGATGAGAAAAGAAAAGATGACTTCATGCCTTTACCAATGACATTAGTGTGAAGTGAAAGCAGCAGATAAGGCTGGAACTTGAATTAGATTCGCCAAATCCATACTAAATACCGATAAGTTACATGTACATGTTACCCAATTTAATGTGGATGACTTTTTTTCCCGAATACTAACGAGCAGATACAACACTTTGAACTTATAAAAATATTGAAGACGGAAGAGTTTGTTTAATGCGCAGAAATGCTTAGTTCTAACGATTATTTCTGTTTCTGATGAGGTACGCTGACTCTAGAGGATACTAATTTCAAAGATAAGTTGCTTATTTTTTACTATGTTTCTTCGGGATATAGATGACGAAGATTATTTTTTTATAAATAATAATACGTGATGCTTCACCAACCATGTCTCTCATAGCTTCTGTTTTTAATTGATTGGTGGTGTTCATATTGACATGTTTCATTTTGCTGATATGAGATGGACTACCGTAAAAATGCCGTTCAACACCACAGATACGCTTGACAGTTTCTGGACCCTAACCCGTTAAGTATGTTCCCATAGGGGCTGATGTACTGTATCTCTTTGTTCATGAACAATAGTATTCGGAGAGAATATAACCGGGCGTCAAGAGGAGGATACTTTTCCTTTTAAGTTTGAAGTTGTGGGGTCACGGCTAGATACTCAGGAACACTCTTAATCGAAAACCATTTGAGTTGACTGAGTTATCCAACCTGACGGTATTTCTAACAGGTTCTCACCTGCAAGTTGATTAGCTACTTTTATCCAAAATAGCGCCCCATCATGCAAATTTGTCTCTGATATTTATGGGAACCTAAAGAAGAATTAGGCTAACGGCCACATCACGTTCAAACATCAGTTCCTGTACGATCACCGAAGTTAAGCATCGTCGGACCTGGCCAGTACCTAGATGAGTGACCGCTTAAGAATACCAGGTGTTTGTAAGCTTGGATGTGCGGCTGGTGTAATGGATAATGGCTGGGAATTGTTAATCGGAAGGCCGAGTTCCAATCCCTGTGGGATTCGTTGTATTCACTTACGCGCAAAATATATTTGTGAAAGGCATGAATCCATCTCTTCTTCCCCCATCTATCGGTTACTTAGTAAAACCATTATTATCCAAAAAATTCTTACAGTTTAATAAAAAATATTTTCTGGCTTTAAATAATATGTGAATGGTTGATAAGCCTTAGAAAGTGAAGCGATTAATCAATGAAATATCTTTACATTTTCTGGAATATAAATATATAGAAACTACAGTTGCTACAAATGAGGGATCATTTTATATATTGATAGTAATATAGAACTGGTCCCCTACTTTATATCCACGTTATAATTTCTAGTTTGTTTATCTGATTGGGTAGCAATCTACCTCTTCTCCTGCAAGCTATCTGTTAATTATTAATACTTATCACTAAACCATTATTATCGTCCCCCCAAATTCTTACAAACTAAAAATATTTTCTGGCTTTACATAACCTGCAATGGATTGATAAGCTGCCGTAAATCAATCTGTTCGCTGTGATTTATGTGACCAATCAATGCCAGGAACTATCTGAAGACAATAACATAGATCAGATCCCCCAGCTTTGATTGGCTATATCTAGAAAGTGAACAACTCCAAATTCTAAGCCGGTTGGGCGTGGATATGGGTGTGGGTACGAGAACTTCGACCCCATAAGAAAACCTTTTCGCTACGAAAAGCACATCGTGGTGATGCGGTAGCTTTATGCCCCACAGGTGTGTATATGGGGTTAATATCTATTTAAAATGTCCCTCAGGGCGTGGGCAATCATGGCTCACCACAATCCTTTGGGGTTATTAGCAATGTTTCACTTTTGCTATCCCTCCTAATCCCTGTTTTAACTAATCTTGTTAGGTCGGTTACTTGTTTGGTTTCTGTATCTGTCAGTGTACAAGGCGACATTTTACCCGAACCCCTCCCAAATAGGGAGGGGCGTCTTATACTGCAGGTATATAATGTGAACATTAAATCATGTTGTTTATGGCTAATTGTTAGCAATGGAGATTTTTGACGGTAGGATAACCCCTGCCACGCCTCTTCTTTTTTTTTTTCGTTGATGTGGAACCAAAACACAACTCAATGCCTCAACAAGCTGTTTAAAGATCATGAGCTATTGTACATTGTGGTAGTTAATTGACAGTATCTCCCTACCGTTTTTTTTTCATTGGAAGTTTAGTGAAAAGAAAGTATATGCCAACTAAATTTATTTAATTTAATATAAAATTATAATTTAATTTAAAATATTATTTGTCGGGTGTGGGAGTCGTGTTTTCTGGGGAATATAGCCTGAAACCTACATTGTGAAATTCTTCAAAACCTCTTTCTTTATTAATGTTTTTGAGATATTTTGACTTTCTGGTCTTAAATAAAAGCGACCATTTCGTTTGCATTTACTTTCGTTACTATATGTTCCGTATGTGAAATTCTCATCATGCTTCTGTAGAAAGACATCTCTGTTGTCTCGTCTCTTCTTCATCTTTATAAGACTGATATTACATAGCAGGTAAGATCAGTTTCGAAATACTTTGCTTCGGCTTTGGAAAGGCATCTGTTGGCTCATCCAGTGCCACTTCGGATTTCGGTGTCACATCTTTCGTTATATATTAATTCCCAGATATTCCAATCAATTTTTACAGTGAAATAGTTCGCATCTAGAGATGATCCTTTTTCTGCCAACCACACATTCTATCGTAATCTCAGATTATTATATTAACCTCAAAGACTGTACCCAGGATGTTTCCAAAGTTAATTGGAACCATTTTAATTTTTTTTAATATGTATACCTTTATGGTTTTTTTTATTATATGTTCTACTTGGAAGTGATTTCAATTTTTCAATTTTTCTTCTTCTAATTTTGGCCCCTAAAAAACCGTTTATATCCCATAAGGAAAGTGAGGAACGGAACCCCCAACCCGGTCCCAGAGATTAGTGTAAAGGGAAGAAAATAAAATAAAAAAAATGACCTTTTTTTTTTAACTTTATTTAAATCTACTGTCGGATGGTCAGTGACTAAATTGGCACCCCCACTCCAATTTATTCCGATCAAAAGGCGGAAGAACATTTGATGAGCCAACAACCACATAGTGTTTCAGTGAAATCACCATGGAAATTACTCCATTATCAATTCCAAGAAAAATCATGTTCACCTATACTTTTCTTTTAAATCTAGTCATATTTTCCCGTCTCACTATTAACTCGAGTCAAAGTAAGAAATTACTTTGATAATATTGTTAAGAATTTTATTTATTTGGGAAGTAAAATGGTACCATCATATTTTTGCTACGAGTGATTAGGAAAAATGAATATAAGTTATTCTTTTAAATTCAAGTTTCTCCTTATCAGTTCTGAAAGTTTTGGTCTCTTCGATCGAAACTAAATGGTGAGGAGAGATTTTTCTCTATTACTAATAGATAAAGGTAAAAAGTTACTTTGAATTAAAAAATCAAAATAGTATTTGTCTATATTTCTGAGATGAGGTATTATGTACACTATTTACATTATTCGGAGTATTGCCTCATCTTTGTCACCATATGGCACAATGTATAAAGGCGTTGGTTAGATCCAGTGACAGGACCCAAAGAGTGTGAGTTCAATACCCGGTTAAGGCAGTGGAGAAGTTTCAGAGGGAAATTAACAGGCGATAACTGATAACTGACATCCATTAAACATGACACGTGAAACTAGAAAAGTTACCCCAGTGAGCGAAATAAAGGGTCCAGTTCGACATTCCAAACACCTGAAGAAGGCCGGAGCGTACAACGGCCGAAATGTTGTAATAAATATGGCGACAAAGATGAGGACAATAGTCCGAATATTGTAAATAGTGTACATAATACCTCATCTCAGAAATATAGACAGATACTGAAGGGCCGAAACGTTGCGATAAATATGGCGACAAAGATGAGGACAATAGTCCGAATAATGTAAATGGTGTACATAATACCTCATCTCAGAAATATAGACAGATACTGAAGGGCTAAAACGTTGTAATAAATATGGCGACAAAGATGAGGACAATAGTCCGAATAATGTAAATAGTGTACATAATTATATTGTTTAGAACTTTAAGTTAAAATATGGGTGGGTGTATATTACTGTGTGTGTCTGTGTGTCTGTGTGTATGTATATATAAAATCTTTTGTCGGATGACTGGCGACTAAACCGGCGTCTCCACTTTAGATTATTGTGAGTGAAATGGATAGTTAGAAACACTGTATGATGAAATGATCTATGAAAGGATGAATGAATTCTTGAGCCAACGACAGGCTAACAAGAAATTGTGCCTCAATAAAATCACCGTGGAGAAGGCAAAGGGAAACTACTCCATTATGAACCCCCCCCCCCCAATATTTCTTTATATCTGGATGAGATGAACATCTTCAGCCATAGAGAAGGCACTTCATCTGGAAGAAGGCTAACTAAATGGGTAGATAGAAATCAATAGCCATCTTAATGGTCATCTATCGAGGAGAAAGAAACTCTGATATGAAAGCAACGTTTTTGACCTCATGGACTGCCTAAAAATATAAGTAAATACCGCATCGTCTATCACGCGGTTTACTAAGGGATGCGTGTCTCAGTGACACACCATGCCGAGGTTGAAACATCTGCTACTGCTAACGAAAAGTTTAGTCAGACATCACAAGGTATCAATGTCAACTAAAAAAATTGACTATAAAATCCAAAGTTAAAAATTTCTTCAAATGGAAAATACGAAAAAAATCTACGTTCAGTCAGGATCAGATGACTTCAGGGTGCGCTGTATTTTAGAAGAATGCAGCAAAGCAAACCTTGATGTTGTTTGTATACAAGAAGAATGTCGATTTAATTGTGACTCCATTGCGCATTTAGGATACAAATTGAATGGCCACAAGCAAAAAAACAACAACATGGAGTTGGAATTTTAATACGCAAATCACTAGATGTTGTAATAGGCAACATTGTAAACTAGTCTGAAAGACTGATGCCTAATGACACTGTTATTCGTAGCTATAAGATCTGAAGAACATCAGTTTATGTCCCAACTGTAAAAAGCGCTGTTTGGGGAAAAATGAAATTCTATACAGGGTTGAGTAAAAATTGTATCTTAAAAAAAGAAAATTGCATAAGTAGAGATTTACAGCGAATCCAAGTATCTTTAAATGCTTCTTCTGCTCATTTGATAGCAAGAAGACATCACCGTGTAAAACGGAAGCGTCAAACAGTAATGGAAAACGCTTGCTACGCAAAAAGATATTTTACCTTTAAAACATGGTTTGATATTTCCATGAAACACCGCATCACATGGCCTAGCCCAGATAATATAACAAAAAAGATTATAGATGTCAGCATCTATGGACTGGGAAGTTTCTGATAGATGTTAGAGTATACAAGTCGTGCTTTGAATCAGATGTCAGATTAATTATAATTAACAGACAACACAGGCCAACAAAAAAGCTTGCTTCCGCCCACATAAACCAAGGAAAACACCGTGGTATATCATTCAAGGCCTTAAAAATGAAAGGGTAAATTTAGAATCTCGAGTACAAATTGATGTCAATAAATTTTGATGCAATCATAGCGGATGTTACAGTTTTTTGTGTATATGTATGTATATGTAACTAGTGAGCCAATCCAAATGCCTTGACTCGCTTTATAGTCTACCAATAGAAGGTTAACCAATCAGAAGGCGTAGAACATTCTATCCGTCGTGTATAAAGGCGGCCATTTTTGTTCACTCTACCGGAATGTCCAGTCCAGCTTGTCAGGCGAAGAGAACCAGAAGGGCGAACTATGCACTGCTACTTTTATCGAAATATCCACTGCTAACCTGAACAACACTTTCCTACTGTCTTCGAAACATTCACTGCTAACCTCTGGATTCTATAATTCGAAGACGACCGTCATGATTAATAACAGCGGAATCATATAGTGTT